GCACCTCGCGTAGGCGAAACCTACATTGTTCGATACTAGTCTTGATGAGTGCTAAAACTTTGAAAGCATGAACTTAATATTTAACTTGAGGGATTTTGTTATTAGTTTGATCTCACCGGCTTAACATGCAATTCGTCTCTCTCATGCATCAACATACAAACACATGCGTCAATATACATAAAAGGATACAGTTATGGCCCCTAGCGCAATTGTTCTCCCAAGCCAATGAGAGAACCTAAGCTAACCTAATAACGATCTAAACTTCTCCAAGCAAGATCTCCAAGGTTATCCTCCTTTGATATTGTATTCTTCTCTTTCTTCATAACATTACATTACATAAAAGAAACTCGTTTTACATACGAGGGAGTGAGATGAGAAAAGAAGTTACATCAAGAATTTTAGAGAGAGGCACGACACGCAGGCCGTATTTTACAATCCCAAAACAAAATAAAGGAAAAAAAAACTAAGGCCATAACTTATCACCACAAAACAATAATAATAAACACACTTTTATTATTAGTTTAAATTTTGTTAATTAAAAAAAAGGCAAATTAAGTTTCGGCGTCATTTTCGCACAACTCTTGTGCATTCATAACCCTAATCGCATAACTCTGCAACAACACAACCCTTGTGCCGTCATGAACCCTAATGCAACAGTTTCATGCTGTCAAACACATTTCAATTGATAATTCAGTATGATTAATCACATGCCATTGCTTCACCATACTAATGTCGGATTCCGAAGCATATGAACAGTGATCGGTCAAAGGAATAACAATCATCAAGTGTTTGAATGAACGAAATAGAAACAGTATATCCCATATACCACCGTTGCATCAGATTTACTTATATCATATATAAAAGTGATCGATTTTATTTGTGTAACCTATGTACGATCAATGTATCGCTGCTTCACCATACTAATGTCGGATTCCGAAGCATAGTCAACATCAATCATCCAAATTGTACACAACAGATGCCAAATTTAATTACTCGTTTATTATTCAATTCATTCTGGTTTTAATCGAATCAAAACAGAAAATATAGAACATAAACAACTATCAGATCCATGGTTTCGTAAGTGGCTCTGATACCACTGAAGGAAAATTGCGATCAAAAGCGCAGCGGAATTTAAAATTTTCCTTTAGCGATCCTTACGAATGAGCATGGTCAGTGATAGAAATATTTACCTCTTGTGGCGATTCAGACCTTTGATGTTGTGATCACGAGCGTTGATGAAGAACAACGCCTCTACTCAGTCCACACGAACAGATCACTTCCGGTCACAGTGCTAGCTGATCACGAACGGAAACCTTGAGTGAGAGAGAGAATCAAAAACGAAATTGCATCAAGTGAAATTGCTTCATCACAAGGGATCTATTTATATAATCACTCGTGTGGGCTACAAGCTAAAAGCCCAATTAAGGCTATAAGCTAAAAGCCCAATTAAGCTTATGGACATCATACCTTATGATGTACCATATATCACTTATCCACGTGGTACCTTACCACTTTCCGTATTACATTTAAGTGCACCGTACCTTACGGTGTTCCTTATTTATTCTATCTCTCATCAACCTGTCCTTATGTGTGTGACCCTGTAGGTTTTCACGACGTTGGCAATTATATTAAATCACACATTTAATATAATAAACAGTGAGCGGTATCTAGCAACACATCACTGTTACCCAAGTCACGAAAATGTCATGTGATCTGACCAAACCTTTTCCGTGATAATATTTGTGTTGTACAATTACCCTTTTACCCTCATGTCTATATTGAACACAAGGCATACACTGTGTCACCCTTGTCCAGTTCAATATTGGGCCCTTAGACATTTATCCTGTTATGCAGGATGAGAAAATTCCATCTAGCACTCATGTCCCTTAGCATGCTTTGTGAAGTACCCATCAACCGTCTTTATAGTCATCCAGTTACGGATGACGTTTGATCAACAATAAAGTACTTGACTCTACATCTAGGGTCCATAGTGGTTTCAGGTCGAAGGGTGGTATACACCATTATCATCATGAGAATAACTTATGACACTTTGCATAACATTCTATGTAGTATTCTCATAGCGGGTCAATCCAGTATAAATATTACTCCTAATATTCATACCTATGTCAAGACTTGATAACTCCTTATCTATGATCCATGAGATGTGATCATCAATCTATCTTCATAATAATCTTAATGCTTTAATGTTATCCCACTTCACATTAAAGCTTGACTACTGATACTTTAAGAATAGTGTCTTATGTTTAATGGGATCTCATGATTAAGTCACACTTAACATTTCATTAAACAAATAAACCATTCTAGGGACTTTATTATTTTGGAAAGCAAACATAATAAAGAAATGCCTTTTATTATTAATAAATAATTCGATACAAGTACCGAAAGTATTGGCCTCTAGGGCTTACACCAACATACTCTGGCCTGGGTACTGGGCCTTTTACCTTAATAGTAACACCCACCCAACATGGAAAACCAGAATCCAGCATAACAGATAACTAATATAGAAAGTAATAAAATTCAATGCAAACATATGCTCAGATAAACATGTACAAATGAATAAACTAAAAGTATAAAAATAAACACTCAAAGAAAAGAAAACAAGAGCTAGGAGCTACTCCGGGATGGACCATCAATAGGTAGACCCTTCCCTAGTGAAGTCGCCAGCTGAAACAACCGGCTGAACAATCAACTGATAATGAAATCAATAAAGTCGCCATCAAACATTTTTTATCCCATAGGAAGGGAAAGGTAAACATCGACTAAACCTGAGAAGGGTGAAATCAAGGTCAAACGACCAAGAGATCGAGTAAGGAAGTCTGTTACGCGAGGGGAAGGTATTAGTATCCCACACACCTGTAGTACTCTACAGCATCCACTCTTGTTGTTCTAATCAAAGGGTGTGTAAGAATCTATATCTAAGTTGTACATGGAATGCATGCAAAAGAAAGGATAAAAGAATGTAGGAAAAATAAAAAGTTGTGCTCGTTCAGGCCCTACCCCAATGACTACGTATCCCTTTTAAGGAATCAGAGCAGCCATAGTTCGGCTTCAAATGTTTTTGTTGGTTTGTATTTTTTAATGAACAATATTAATTTCTCTTTATGTCGCAGCTCGACCTTTGGAGACTCACGCGTCAGCACATAAGTGAATTAACATGTTCTTTTGAAAAAAAGTTTGAAAGAGAAGCTCTAAGACGCAAAAGAGTTTGCATTAGTTAATATTTTTTTACCTTGAAAAAGGGTTTGAAAGTTTTTAGATTTTTTTATGCTTTTTCAAGAAAAAGAGTTTTAGTCTTAATGTAAGGATGCAAAAGAAATAAAAAACATCTAAGGGAGACTAACCTAAATATATCCCTAATATTATCATACAATGATTGATCCTAAAGTTAAGTTTTGAATGGAAATCTCTACCCTATATTGACATGCTTGGATAACAATCCTAATGTCTATCTTGATTCATCATCTATAGATGGATCAAGAAGTCCTAAAGGAGCATAGCAATGGTCTATCACCTAAAACTATGTCTATCTCAAATCGTCATCTATAGATGAATCAAGAGATCCTAAGGGAACATGTTGAGGGTATATCATCTCAAGACATGCACACAAAGATGAAATCAAGCAAACAAGCCAATAAGCTCAAGAGAGCACACACAATATGTCATGAGCAGCTCGTACTAACTCAAGTCAAATGCCTAACCAAGATATTAAGGATCGAGGTAGGAAAACAAATCAACAATTAAGAGGCTCAATAGAGCACACGTAGAGAGATCCTATCTAGGCTAGCATGCCAAAGAAAGTCTAATAAAAACTATCCTATGGGAAACATGCAATGAGAGCGAAGTCGTGATATCAATTTCTAAATTGAGTGACTCATCGATCAACAAGAAATCAAGGGAAGCGATAAAATCCTATAGGGAGCATGCACTGAGAGCGAAGTCGTGATATCAATTTCTAAATTGAGTGACTCATCGATCAACAACCAAGGAAATAAAACAAGCACAACATATATAGCAAATAAAGTGCGGAATGCGTGCTACAGGTCTTTAAACAGCGACTTCGAGCGCACGCTCTTTATTTCCTGCTTCTTACTTCACATGATTTCTAAAAAGCGATAAATGCCCCTACTATACAGGATCTCTAGAAGCATTAAAATGATGAAACAAGAAACCATAAAAAATACCAAACGAACAAAAGTTCGTAGCGCTGCGAGCAAAAACAAATAAATCCAAAAAACTTCGATTAAGCTTCACCAAGCCACGGAAAAGAGTAAGACATCAAATGCTCAGAATAAGTGTCGAAGCATCACCGGTGTGAAAATAAATCACAATCGAAATCTCAAGCATATCCGCATATCGCACAATAAACCTGCATAAGATTCAAATCTCAACAAGCAAAGGTGATTACCAATCTCAAGTAATCAGATAATCCTGATTTAATTCCTAAAAAAAAACCAAATAAAAATCTAACAAATTTTTATATTTGATTTTATTATTTTTATCATGTAAAAAAAACTCAAATAAAAAAATTATCAAAACTATCTAAACAAAAATGCAAATAATGAAAAAAGGGGGGTACAATCTGTAAACATGAGGTAATGTAGTAATCTGGCACTAAGGCCCAAATCAATAAAGTCCAATGCTCCCTTTTTTTGGTTCAATCGTTTCAGGCTTCAAAAACGAAGATATGGGCTCAATAACGAAATTCTAAACAGCAAGGCCCAATGAATTTAACTTCCATTACCATCCAATTTCCAACGGATTTATTCAGCTTTTGACTTTCTTCAATTTAAAATGATAATAAAAATAAAACATTAAAAATAAAACAATGAATTCGATGTCGTTTTGAAGAGTTTGGCTAGGGCTACAACTTGTGTTTGTTCAGCTTCCACGTTTCAGCTCTATCTTCTTTCTCTCAAGACAGCGCGATAATGACCCTGAAATTTCTCTGCCGATCGCGGCTTCTTCGATTAACAGCGGCCATGGATCTGACGTTCAGCGGAAACAACACAATGTCTCCCTCCAATTTCAGTGGCGGCGCTCAACCTTCGCCTCCTTCGAAAAAAACTCCTTCTCTGGCCTCATCTCTTTGTTGTCACCTTCGTCTCCTTCACGAATATGCTTCGTGCTCCGCCCATCATGTCTTCAAGCTCTATTCACAACAAAAATGGAAGACGCAAAGGAAAGTGTGAAGAAGACTTACTAACCGGAGAAGGATCTGGCGCCTCTTCAAAGCGATGAAGCTGATGAGAGAACATAGACAAGTTCTTCAGAAATTCGAGTATGTGATTATGTTCCTTGCTCTAAACCTCTTCTTATTCCATGACCTCTTCTTCTTCTTCTTCAAATTTCTTCTGTGTATTATTGTATTGTGTGTCATGCGATGAGGTTGTAGATGTTTTGAATTTTATTACAATTACATTGTGCAGGTTGAAGGAGAATCGCCGATGATGTAAGATGATTACTAACGATGCGCCAGGATGATGATGATGATGATGTGAAGGATGGTTGTTGTTGATGTGGTTATTGCAGAGGATTCCTAGAGAAGATGAAGATGTCGATAGGCTTGAAGAATCAGCTTAGGGAGAATGAGGATTGGTGATGAAGGTGCGGTTATAGAGAGATAAATGTGGTTGAAGATTGATGATGGAGAAGATTGTGAAGAGTTGAGAGCCCTGTAGTTTTTTGTGGAGTTTCTGTGTAATTCTTCTCTGGGAATTGAAGAATGAATGAGAGAAAGTGAAGATTACCGAGAGTGAAGATTGGGAGAGGAAGGAGAGAGAATTTTAGATAGTGATTCTTCTATCCATTGAAGAATGACAGTGAAGATGAAGAAGTAGTTGGAGGAGAAGAAGCAAGAGGTTTATGGAGTTTTCTTGGTTTTTAGAATGAAGATGAGAATCAGAGAGCATTTTTTAGAGATTTTTCTGGTTGATTCTTCAGAGATTGAAGAATGAGAAATCTCTGGTGAGTTTTCGATTTATATATTTTGTTATGGTTAGGAAGTCAATTAGAGCTGAATAAATCCGGGCCTTTGGTTTTGATTTTTTGTTAGGGTGAAAACTGTTAGGGTGAAAAACTGTTACAAGTTAGTTATAGGGATCTAGAGAATTAGTTTGAAATTCTGTTACAAGTTGTTAGCTGTTAATGAATTGTCAGGACCAGCTCAGTTGAATGCTAGTAGACTACTATTAAAAAAAATCAGTACAGTAAAAATTGTTAGTAGTTAAGCTATGAGAAAACCATCACTCTCTGTTAGTACAAGTAACTAAAATAAAATGTTAGCTTAGAAAACAAAGTTGTTAGTTAAAACTGTTTAGAAATTTTTTTATGCTGTTAGGAAAAGTTAGTTACATATTTTTTGAAGTTATGTTTGATGGTTAGAAAATTAGTTAAAAGTTATTTACTAACTGTTTAAAGGTTGGTTAGAGAATTTCTGTTTAGAAGTTAATTGTTGTTAACTGTTAGTTAGAAACCGTTAGCAAGTTAGAAGCTAGTTACCGTGAAATTCTATTATGAATGTTAGCCAAAGTTGTTAGAAAGAGTTGGCCTTTTGGTTGTTAATATGCAGGGCTATCTATTTGGTTTTTGAGTTGGTAGCAGCGTCAAGGTCCCACCAAGAAGTGATGACGGAACTTGTAACACAAGTAATGGATGGAGGTCCTTAATTCTGAATGAGAGAGACTCAAGATAGCCATAAGATACAATTCTAAACCATGATCCTTGGAGAAGAAACCTCAACCGAACACAGTAGCTAAAAAAAACTCTAACCTTGACCGTACATATGGAAGTAAACCCTAATGGCCTTATCTCTTGAGAAAAAAAGGAAATTCAAGGTAACCACACAACACAACTCTAATTCCAAACTTCACTGCTTGCAGAATAACTAGAAGAGTTAGAGGTAATCAGTTTTATCAGGTATATACACCTTAGTCACTGTGAAACCCTGATATCGCACAACCATTGAACATTGACCCCATGTGATTTATTGAAATGCCAAATGCATGTTATGTTAGTGATCTAATAAAAAGATGTGAATGCGACGCTAAGCCTAAGACAAATAAAAGTGAAATTAGGAGGGAAAATTTTGGGGTGCAACAACTAGCGCCTCTCGTCATGTCTGCTATGATCGTGCTATGTTTAAGACATACACAAATGATGAAAAAAAGAAAGTGTTGTTGGGAGATGCTCACACCACTGATGTTACTGAAATTGGAGACATTGAGTTGAACTTAACCTCAGGAAAGACTTTAATCTTGAAGGACGTCATGCATGTCCCTGAACTTAGAAAGAATCTTGTTTCTAGTTTTCTTTTGAATAAGGCAGGGTTTAGTAAGTCTATAGGGGCAGATTTGTACACCATCACTAAGAATGGTATTTTTGTTGGAAAAGGGTACGCCACTGATGACATGTTTAAGTTGAATGTTGATTTGAATAAAATTTCTCCTTCTATTTAATCTTTGTGTGACTTTATCATTTGGCATGCTAGACTTTGTCATGTTAATAAGAGAATTATTTCTAATGCAAGCAACTTAGGCCTAATCCTTAAATTAAATGTCAATGATTCAAATAAATGTGAATATTGTAGTCCAGCTAAAATAACTAAGACCTTGCATAAATCAATTATTAAAGAATTTGATCCCCTAAATCTTATACACTCTGATATATTTGAGTTAGATGGAACTTTAACTAAAAATAGTAAATATTATTTTATCACTTTTATTGACAATTATTCTGATTACACTTATGTATACTTAATGAAGAATAAAAGTGATGCGCTTGAGATGTTTAAGATGTATGTAACTGAAATTGAGAACCAACTTAGTAAGAAGATTAAGAGACTTCGTAGTGATAGGGAAACTAAATATGATTCTGATTTATTTAATCATTTTTATAAATAACATGGAATTGTACATGAAACAACTGCTCCATATTCTCCTGAAATAAATGGTAAAGCATAAAGAAAGAATAAAACTCTTACTGAACTTGTTGTTGCAATTATGATGAACTCTGGTGCTGCACCTCACTGGTGGGGGACATTTTATTGAATGTTTGCTATGTCATGAATAGATTCCCCCAGTAAAAAAGTAAGAGATCTCCTTATGAGATATTAAAGAAAAGACAACCAAACTTGTCTTATTTGAGAACTTGGGGCTGTCTGGCTTATGTCAGAATTCTGGATCCAAAACGAGTTAAACTCGCTAGTAGAGCATATGAATGTGTATTCATTGGATATGCAGCAAACAGTAAAGCGTATAGGTTTTATGACCTAAATGCAAAAGTGACCATATGATCAAATGATGTTGAATTCTATGAAGACAAATTTCCTTTTAAATCGAGAAATAGTGGAGGCACATAATCGGGTCACATTCCTATGATAAGAAGCACAGAAAACAACGACATTGTAGAAACAGAACTTCGACGAAGTAAAAGAGTAAGAGTTGCTAAAGACTATGGGCCCGATTATGCGGCTTATAATGTAGAAGAAGATCCAATAAATCTTCATGAAGCCTTGTCATCTCTGGATGTTGAGTTATGGCAAGAAACTATTAATGATGAGATAGAATCTCTAGAGTCTAACAAGACTTGACACTTGGTAGACTTGCCTCCTGGGTGCAAACCAATCGGTTGTAAATGGGTTTTGAAAAAGAAACTAAAAATTGATAGAACTATTGATAAATACAATGCTCTCTTTTTAGCCAAGGGTCTTAGACAAAGAGAAAATATAGATTTCTTCAACACATTCTCTCCAGTCACTAGAATTACATCCATTAGGGTACTTATTTCACTAACTGCTATTTACAACTTAATAGTATACCAAATGGATGTTAAATTTTTTTTATTAAACAGTGACTTAGAAGAGGAAATCTATATGGAACAATAAGAAGGGTTTGTGTGTAAGAACAAGATTTAGTTCTGCAATATTATCTCTGAGTTTTGATGGTAACAAATGAGTATGTTTGTATGAACAATTTTGATACTCTAATGTTATTGTTGAGTACTTAACAAACAGGTTCTGCTTCCGATGAATGGCGTGGTCAAGACATTATAAGAGAATTAGTTCTGCTTCTGTGCTACACAAGTTCTGTTGAACAACAACAAGACACTCCAGAAGGCTCTGAAGTGTAGGCTCTGATGTTTGTCTATAGAAATCAGTCAGAAGATCTGAAGATATAAGTTGCTACTTAAGTCCAGATGCTAAAACCCGTGTTTCTGAAGACAACAGGTTCTAAACAAACAATCAAAAGATCTGAAGGCAGAAGTTTTAACTTAAGTCCAAATGCTAAAGACTCGAGTTTCTAAAGACAGTGTGTTCCAAAGAAACAGTCAGAAGATCTTAAGACAAAAGTTTTAACTTAAATTCAGATGCTAAAGACTCAAGTTTTTAAAGACAGTGTGTTCCAAAGAAACAAAGTTAGAAGATCTTAAGACAATGTTTCTACTGAAGTCCAGATGCTGAAAACTTAATTTCTAAAAAGACAACCTGTTTTAAGAAGACAAAGTTAAAAGATCTGAAGGCATCGTTTCTACTAAAGTCTAGATGCTAAAGACTTGTGTTTCTAATAAAAAAGTTCTTAAAAGGACTCTTAAAGAATCAAGTGTTAAAGATTCTAAAGGCGGAAGTTCTGAAGATTTCAAAGACTTGAAGTTCTAAAGATCCAAGGTTCTCTACAACGGGTTCTCAAGACCAAGTGTTGAAGACTTTAAAGACGCATCTCTTAAGACTCTGAAGATTTGAAACTCTTCTGATCCAAGGTTCTCTACAACGGGTTCTCAAGACTAAGTACTGAAGACTTTCAAGACGCAATTCTGAAGACTCTGAAGACTTGAAGTTCTGAATACCTTATGTTATGTTCCCACTTCTAAACTCATGCTCGCAGAAGTCTCTAAAGTGTAGAAGGAAAGAATATAACGTTAACATGGTACAATAGTATACAATACGAAAAAGCCTTATTCCACTACCTCTCCACTAGCTTGAATTGTGGAAGAGAAAAGGACGAAGCAATACTATTTGTAACGACTCTTTTTCAAATATCCAACGACTCTATTTTGCTTGGCTATATAAGAAAAGAATCGTATGTTTAAAATGTTGTTGGTGTTCAATGTTAAAATGGAAGTTGTCATTATTGGAACACAACCAAAAAACTATCAACCACTATAACAACAAAAACAACTGTTATTAAAATGAGTC